AGGTCGGTTCTAGCTTTCAGCAAGGGATCTGGTACCGTTATTTGAGTGGTATTCTCTATTGTTACGGGCAAACGTAACAAGTTGGTGTGGCGGTTGGTGTGCGATGCCGACCTTGTCGTCGATTCCATATGTATGCCGAAACGCATGCGTAGCTGTAACTGAATGACTGATTGCTCAATCTCAAGTGAAGTGTCAAAATGATGATCGCCATGTCACTAGCACTTCGATATTCTGCCAAGTGTTACTAAAACACTGACCCCTCTGACACGCCAAGGCAAAATTTTTCAGAAATGACAATCTTTCCTCTCAAAGTACATGGTAACCACCGGTAGAGCGCTTTGGACTATGTCAAAACGAGCAGACAGATGCCATCCACAAATATCGCCCTCTCGTTTTCAGACATTCAAACGGACATTTAAAGGTATTGTTGTTCGATGGTAGGGCCAGCACCAACAATTTCACACGAAATCGATTGAATCTGACAAAGTTTGCACTGATGTAAATTGGTGTAGCATTAATATGCTTGAACTTTTGTTTGATGTTGGTGAATTCTCATGTGATTTTGACAATCCACGAGCAATCAAACGCCTTTTTCGCGCAAATCAGTCTGTCTTGACGTGCTAATTTATATTTTCTGGTCTCGTTAGTTTAAAACATTCTATCCTGGGTTGGCTGGAATGTTAATCCATGCAAACAGTTTGGAAATCAGACATTATTATGTGATTTGGGCCAGAGAAAGCTGAGTCCACAAGCTATTCCACTCTTAATTTCCCTCAAGACTGCGATTTAATCAAAAACCAGATTGGTCGATATTGAACACACAGCGTTAACAGTGGACAAGGCGACTGAATTTAGTGTATAATAAATAATAATAATAATTCGTGTTTGATCCAGACAGCGGTTACTCAACATCACCACAATGAACATCTAGTGTTTCATAACTACTGTTTCTCCGATATAACAGTAACAACTAAGATTAAATCTTTTGCTATTTAAAGAAGGTTAATCGGGAATTTGAATTCTCAAGCTTTGTTCATTTAACCTATGGGCTTCATTTGATTGGCTAAACTGCGCTTACAGCCACTCACTGCATCACGTACTCATACCTCAACCCTGATTGGTTGAATCGTGTTCCCTTAAATTAACCGCTTTTCCACAATACGACTGCGTGTTACAAATGAAGCGGCGACTGTGCCCTTGGAAATCGCCGTAAACAAAAGGGAATTTTATAATTATTCTAGCCTGAAGGAGGCAAAGTTAATTAGCATATATGGCCTTAAAGGTAGTTGCCGGTATAGCCTAACGGGGCTAAATTATTGCAACAGGCAGCATGGAGCTTGAATTCTCTAAATTTCTGTTTTCCTAAGCTGCAGATAAACTGAGTTAATTAGAAGTCTCGCATAACTGTCTCCACGCTCTTGGCCATTCATTCAAATTGTGAAAGCCCGCCAAGTTAGACGCTTCAAAATTTAATTAAAATAAGCCCGACTTCATGACACGATCAAAAAGTATTGATCGATATTGTGACCATTGAAACCACGTTTTTATGTTACTGGAAAATCGTCATATTCATAAGTAGATTCTAAATGTGGGTAGTGTAATCAGGGAATGTACTCCAACATGGATTCCATCCAGAACTTACTGCTGCAGGGGAGTTTTTTCAAGCTACAATGCAAAATGCTTGCTTGTGTACACGCGTATTTAGGTAGAGCTTGCCAGCATAAACCAATGAGAAGCAGGTGTGAGTCACAAGCACTAATCAAGTTGCAGTAAACCTGCTCAGACAAGCCCAGAGCCACACAAGTCCGCCGCTAGGGGTTTAATTTGTTAGAATTGTCTTTTCGTCGACACAACGCTTTTAAGCGATAATCGACCATGAACATTTTGTGCCGTTTGTGTATTTGAGAGCTACAGTTCCGATAGTGTCTCAAAAGGCCGATACCCATGACAGCATCTGACCAATCACATACCGAACTGGAATTCTAAGTCAGTCATTGGTTCATTTGAACCCAGCCACTCACAAAGTAGGAAGACTTGAAGCGACCTACAAGCGATGCTTTCTGTTTACCAATCAGCAACATCCTGGCACCCTCGATCGTCACACGTAGATACTGATAGTAAAACACCAAGTCAACGCGGGAAGAGAACCCACATTTTACCATAAACGGAGAACTAGGCCTATAAACTCCTATCCCGATCACAGGAGGGGTCAAAACCTGCCAAAATCTAACCAACACCAGGACACGCAACGGTCCTAGGTCGGGTTTCACCTTTCACCGATAATAAGCAGTGTAAATGTGAGATCAGTCCAGCTTCCTTGCTTGCAATTGAGCAGTAGCTCGTCACTTAAATCATTGATTTGAAATCTACAGCCATGAACTGGCTACTCGATGCATTCTGGCCACAGATTCCACCTTTAATTTGTCAAAAAAGTCAATTTTGGAAGCTGCATCATCGTCTATCGAGAAGATGATCATGGAAATAGGTCAACGAAGAACTCCCAAGCCACTGGCAAAAGAAAACTCACACTAGCCGGAAAATCGGTTATTTGTTACAAAATACGAGTGGCTGTAAGAATAAATATAAAAATTCATAATATGCATATATGTACACGATCTGAAGGCGCATGCAGGAGGCTAACAACGCAGTGGCAGTCGCTTAGCCGAGTGCTTCCTCTTTCAAAAAGGACATTAATTCTCGCAATCTGCTCGGTGCCCGGGTCTGTGGTAGTTCCCTAGAGGTTACACAGAGTGTAGATTTCATGAAACATTGGCATACCTATCCGCAGAGCCACGTAAAAATGGGTCGGGTTGATTAGGAACGTGGGCGGTCACCACCGGCTCCATTGACCAAGAGTTGCTCATGAACGCTTGTGGGACAGAAATCTTACGAGTGTTATTGCCTTAAAAGAGGTGGTTAAACAAGCTCCCAACTTACTGCATAGCTGTCTCAGGTGAAAACGCCGCCTTGAGGCAACCTTGGGACGTTCGTCTTTTGGGATTGCGACTGGGGAAAGCAAGTGATTGTGCCGTAAATTGTAATTCAGGATCTTCAGTGCGCCATTCTCATAGATAAAGTTTAGCCGAGAAGGACAGTTAATCATCTTAGATCTGAAATAAGGCAAGAGGTAAGCGGAAAAGAAACACGGATACTTCCGAGAGACCCCATGAGTAGAGCGACTTTTGAAAGTTCCGGAGTGCTTGCAGTCCAATGTTAGTCGGCGATAGACGCAAGTCTTACTGTCAACATGGGTGTGAGGTAATTTAGTTGTGTGGCGCCTAATATAGCAAGCCCCAGTAATCTGTATTAGACAAAAAGCATGAAATCTAGGAAGTTTATGTACCTCGTAAAATCGGTTGAAATGTTCTTGCAATTCATTAAAAGAAAGAAAAGATGTTCCCTCGAACAGATTTTTGAAAGTCATGGTGAATTCGGGATCGGGATCAAGAGCAGCAACTAAAAGGCAGGAGAAATAAAATAGCATACGAATCTACCCCCAACAAAGGTGACAGTAGGAAGGGCTCTAGGAACAATCTTGCCATTATGCGTGTGCCGAGAGTCACAATCAACGATTTGAAGAAAAACTCCAACGGTCTCCGCAACAACAAAAGAGAAGCAAGGTTCACTATACGTAAAAGGAATTAGAAAGGATTCCTACCTTGGCGTAACACCACAGCACCTGTAAATCACCTTCTTGTACATATAACGATCATACTGCGCTGTGTATCGACTGAAATAATCAACTTTCTCGATCTTGTACTTAGTCCCAGTAGCCTAATTACAAGGTAACTGTAATCTTAAGAACGAACTATCTGTAGGTTGTGCATAAAAAGTTTGAGTTCATAAATATTTGAAAAAGTCTGAAATCTAGTTATTTGGGGCACAACATTTGCCATCGGGATTACGAATACACCAAGGACCCGATCAGATAAACACAAACACAAATAGCCCTCTAAATGGCTCCGAGTCCTTATTGGTGCACAGTAAGTCAAACGTAGAAGGGACAAATACGAGATAATAACAACAGAAGACTATTTGATCCTAGGAATACCTACTTAATGTCTAAAATCAAACAACCAAAAAAACCATTGAATGCTCTTGAAATCGCTCATGAAAAAATTAGTTCAGGTGCAACATAAATACGACCCAGTTTTTCATATTTCGTTATTAAAAAACCGAACTGTAAAATGTTTTTAGTTAACTATTATATCAAGTCACATTGTTGCCGATTCAGAGCAGAAAATTATTTCCACTTTTCCCAGTGACAAAGCTAGAAGTTTCCAATTCAATGTTAATTGTCCAAAGTTTTTTTTATGTTTTTTGAACTTGTTGCTTGTATTTTATTATGCAGGCATTGGGCCTTTTATATTCTCAAAGTCTATTCATGATTGTTTTTAAGTGCCTTTAACAGTGAATTGTATAATGCAACTTGAAAGTCTAGCAAGGCCTAAATGCTATCACTTGTGGTTAACCAGTCTGGCCTTATTTAGATGTTTTGTGAGTTAAAATACAAAAAAATGGTTATTTTTATTGTCTTTGTGGATTCGCAAAGTTAACCGCTGAGAAAATCACGAGATTAATGTTGTTATTGTAACAAAACTCTCAAGGGAATTCTTTACCTGAAAAACTTACTTTTACAAGCACGCAGTGGAGGTGGCACTCGAAGTAAATATACCGAAAATGCCGGCAAGCCATCCTCCCTTTATTACCGTCGTTTCTAAACACGGATTAGGATGAGACACAATAGGTTCCCAAAACCTGGTTTTATTTAGTTGAATTGTTTCATGTGAAATACTTGCAGAATTAAGCAGAGGATAATTTGTCCCTGTTTTTTTAAATATTTAATAAGAATTATGGAACATGTAGATGTTTTTAATTATGTATATTCATTTGGGAACACTTCAAAATTTGCGAAATAATTAATAAGTTCGACCGGTTCAGCTGGCCTCAAATCTAAACAAATGGTCATCATGCACTTTTAAATCGAGGTACCTGAAATTGTGTCAATGCGTGTACGCTTGTAGGCATCGACATACTACAAACCCCATAAAAGCAATGATTAAATCTAGAAAAAATACGTGATATCAGTAACTAAATGCGTCATACTTGATGTCAACAATTTTACTCCAAATATTTTCGCTTTGAGTAGACTTGAAGAAAAAGGAATGAAATACATGTTTACGGTAATAGTTGCTCTTAAACGAAGTTAGACGGCGGCAGATCACAGATTAATTTCTTGATGGAATGTGACCTCAGATGCAGTGCTTGAATAATAAAGGCTGGACAATATTTTTGCGTAGTGACTTGCAGTATTGCATAAATATACCCACTTCAAAATCACCGATTCATATTAGCGTGGGTGAACAAGCTAAGGCCAAATGAGTCGAAGGCATTAGATTAAGCGCAGTTTAGTCTTTCATGTTGTCCCAAAACGACGAAGATCGTTTGTAAATGAAGCGCAAAGCAAAAAATAAAGTTACATGCCAAATGTAGCCTTGTGAGATGCGGCAACCTAAAACTTCAAATAACCCCAGCTGATTCACGCAATCATTTGTTGTTCCAAATTCAGGTTAATCCTTAAACTGTTTCCACAAGCGATTTATCCTGAAACCGTGTTGCATAAGGACGACACCGCGTCCAGATATCACACTGAGTTTAAAGTCCTGGTACAGAAGGCATTAGTGCCACAAATTTGCCATTCGCAAACACAGACGTCTGTGGAAAGGATGTGGTGTTTTGGAAGCGTAGAAGAAAGCGCTGACGAGTCGTTCCATTAGTAAGAATGGAGGTCGACACATTCAATCATTATAATTCAAGCGTAAACTCTACCGTACTTTGAAGTTCTGCAAAGATTTCGACCAGGTCTCGCTCGGAGGCTACAGAGTACCACTTGAACAGGTGTTAAAAATTGCCACAAGGTTATTTATTTCAATTTCCACGCCAGAAAATCTGTTCGAAATCGGCAGCTCCGTTGCTATGAGCGAGAAACTGAATAAGATGTCAGAAAACATGACACGATTCAACAAGACGTGACTTGATGACTTCCTAAATACAACTGCGACCACGTTTTGTATCGGAGTGCAGTTTATAAAGAAAAGGACGACGATGAAGTCTGGAGTTGTCGCAACCACGACTCACGAATTGACGGTAGTGTGTGGGTCTGTAATAAAACAACCAGCCTCACTCTTGTCACCTTTTGGGGACTCATGCGTAAAGCCATCTCAAGTGTTGATTGAACAGCAATCCTTAAGATGTGAGTGGGTGTGAACGCGTAATTCGAAATTATCACTACAGTACCTCGTGATCAGGCCTATCTCAAGGTCGTTTGAACAGACCAATCAACATCAGAGAACTTGTTTCCAGACAGCACCCCACATTCATACGGCGAAATGCACAAACAATAAAACGTCACACGCTACTTTCCAAAAAAATTAATGTAATAGAAGCAGCAAAACAGTTTGGACTTACGAATACAATTACGGTGTCAGTAAACACACTAACCTAAGCTGAATGCGGAAACAGAAGTAGGAGAGTACCATGGCTGGGCACAAAACAATCCACACCGGCTCGACTTGCGCACGTGACACCCGCATGTCCACGGCGCGCAAACCACACCACCCAGTCAACACTGCTTCCCTCTCTCAACTTCCCAATATTTTCCTGCACCCGCACCAGACCGCCCACCACCACCACCACGTCGACGAGATTTCCTCGCAAACACCAGTGCTCTTGTTTACTCATTCACTCAGGATCAGCATATTTTTACATTTACGTGTCAACAGAGCACAAAAAATCACAGTTCGTGTGGGCCGATACTTGACCGAATCTCTCCAGCAGAAAGAGCGCGAAGGATCAGAGGAACTAGATGGAGCGGGGGGGAGGGATGGGGCATAGCATTGATTTTTTGGCAATTTCTCAAATTGGACAGTCGGGACGAGTGTGTGGGTAAAACTATGTACAAAAGGCACTGTTGTCCAATGAATAGCGCGTGCACCAAGCTCTAGAAGACGCTAGAGAGGTCGTTCTTTTGTGTCGAAGACGGTCGTGTGGTGGAGGGCATTGGCTGCCGAGGCACGCTGTTGCCGGGGTTACGCTGAACTCCAGTACGACTGTCGTCGCGCTAAAAGGTCAATAACAGCGACCTCACATGACCCGAATGGTAGGTTCGCGCGAAGTGCAAGTCGATAATGTCCTCCGCGTGCTCTATCGTGAGCTGTAACTAAACTTGTGCGCCAACAGAGAACCACGTTTGCAATGCCACCGTAGACGTCAACTGTCGCATCAACACAGTTTTCGACAACAACTTTACGTCAGAAATTATGTAAATTGGTGCCGAAAATACTCCGGGTGTAATAAAAAGGTGACAGACGAAGTGAGAAAGTAAGTGATCGCGCGAAAGGTGATAACGGCTTCTTGAGGTGCGAATAACACGATAAGGGTGGTTAATTTGACGAAACGACAGGTTTTAGAATATCACGCAATCTGAACTGCCATATTACTGCCACTCATGCGCAACAGCTTAACACTTCAGCTACTCAATTAGTGGCATGCGTTGTGGGGGAACAAGTGGCATTGAATCGATGACCTCAGAGCGAGAAATTTCTAAGGCGAATGGTGACACATGGCTACGCAATTTACGTAGATCAACCAAACAACTTCTGCGTAAATCTGCACTTAGCTGCTAAAAAAGCACAGTTCATGTACCTTGTACGAGGAGGCAGATTCGGGATGAGGAATATTTTGGAAAGAGGGCTGACTGGAGATTTGTGGAGGCGGTTGTGACTGGGGCGAATGAACACGAGGAATCTTGGCATCGAGGTGGTAATCGCCGTATGTTCCGCTGTTTTTCGACACGGATTGAAGGCCACTTTCACGATAGGCACTGCCGACGCTACCACAACTACCAGAGAGGGGCATCCTTCCCTTGATGGCAGACAATTGTTGCGAATTCATGGAGTTGTGAGACTCGTAGGGTCGCTTTTCCCCACGATTAAACACCTGACGAGGCGAAAAATACGAGTTAGTCGCTGGAAACTGCAAGAGTAGTGTCAAAATTATGACCTGTCGAGATGACATTCGTTTAGAATTGACCGAATCTCATTCTAATCAACCTCGACAACTGACTAGCTTAAAAATGATTTTGGAAAATAAACGAAAGAGAACAGACAACAGCTTGAAATCACGACTACAGAATAGGAAAAGCGACTAACCCTTGGAGGTTCAGTGAATCGGCGGGCCATTGGGTCTTCTCGTGGAATACGGCGAGACTAAACAATTGGCAGAAGGAATGCTGACTCACTTTGAGTAGATTCTTTACATGTTCCTTGATTTTCATGTCACAAGCCTGGAAGGCCTGGGTGAACTCGTCAGTCATGCTTCGAATCTCCTCCAATGTTAACTTGGGCGAAAACTGTAGGTACCATTCACCATCGCCACATTGAATATCAAAGTTGTTCCACTTAGCTGCTATGTACAAACTTGTGGCAGCTATTGCCTCCATGGAATGCCGCAAAACAAGAGTAGTAAAGTGAAGAATGTGTGTACACACGTAGTAGCTTGTGTGGGAAATGTCTTTTGGGAACTTGTTATCGCGAAGGACGGTGATAAGAATCACATGTGGCTGTTTAACGTCCAGCTTTTGGAACCCAATCACCATTAACATGGTGGCCTCCAGTGAGTGTATATTCTGAACAATGCGCTTGTAAGTGCTGGAGTTTTCAGGAGGCATGGGCTTTTTAAATGCAGCATAGGCCACAGAGATTAGCAATGCCAGCTTCCTCGAAAAGTCTTCTGTTTTGCATGCAATGTACAGAGAGGCCAATGCCACCATGACAGGTTTGATGGTCTCAGGTGAGAAGATCTCGTAGAAGTGGTGCATGTAGTAGAGACTGGCATTGATAACAACTTGGGTCCTACAAGTGAATCGTTAATAAAACTTTTAAAATTCACGTTGGTAGGCGCGACCCAATTTCCTGAATTAAACAGGCACATTGCTGACGCCTGGCCAAATTCGAGCCACGACCGTTTCCCTCCATCAACCTGTAATCACCAGTAAGCTCAATTGCACCTCTGAAGTTGAATACAAGTAAAACAATATTTAAAGTAACCAATAAGAAACCACACCTGCGGACACGTAACTCGGTTTATTATATTTAATTAACTTAGAAATATTATCAAGTTTCATCAACTTTTAAAAAGTTAAAAAAATGAGATGCAGTTATAACATGAAAATTTTACGAGCCCACATCATTTATCTAAAAATATCATGGGCCGTAAAAAATTAATGCTGCGGAATGTTATTTAGCTATGAATTTTGTGGCAACTTAATCCATTTTAAAAAGCCTGTGGAATAAGACGTCTCACGTTGGTTTTACCTGGACGTAAAATAACAGGTAAAAAAAAGTAAATAAATAAAAAAACAAATAAAAAAATAACGTAAAAAATGTATACCTCTTGAAAGTGTACGCTGAAATTTGTTATTTGCCAATACAATGGATCTGTGGATTTAGTAAAATATCTAGTTAATACTTGTTCTACAACTTATGAAAATATATTTTGAACTGTGAAGTAAAAATCGTAAGACTTCTACAGATGATTGCGCATTGTCTCGACTAACTTAAACAAAAATTGGCTGTGGGTTCCACTGCAAACGAATAAATTTCTTTAATGGAGAATTCAGAGACATCTATACCCACTTGTTTAAATATAGAATCCAAACAATTTTACGGTATATTTAAGGATTTGTGCGTCTGGTAAAGGCTACCACTGTAACATTCGGCTTGGACTATATTAGTTCAAATTACAAACTCATCAAATAATTTGTTGAGATGCCATATCTCACTAACTGCCCAACAAACCTGAAGTCGGTGGAAGGACAGAGAGTCAATTGTTTATTGGAGAACTTGACGAAGGTGTTGGGGTCTGTGTGGTTTGCGCGTATTTATAGCTCAGATGTGTGAGTCATACATACGCTAACATCGGGACCTATGTTGGGGGGATAATCTAATAAAAATATTCGTGTTAATGAAGGAGGAGTTGAGGGTTCGCGCGTCTGGCGTCATGCTGCGAAAAAGTTGAACCCTGTGTCGGAGACGGAGTGACCGGATTAAGGGGTTGAATGAACACTATTCACAACTAATTTCATTCACCATCCAACGTTTCATTCAGTCGATTTTAACGTATAGGATGTTTAAAATTAAGTTATACGTGATACTGAGTCAAATATGAAGGAAATTACGAACTCTTGGATTTGCTTTGTCATCCTAAATGGTATCGAGCCATTTCATTGATACTTGAATAATACAGACACCCTTATTTATTTATTTATTTTTGGTAATCTAGAGCCAATATTAAAAATTAGAAACCATCAACCACATTCAGTATCTGACTAACTAAATCTAATTTTGTCGTTCTCCTATTTCGAATGCGCCAAAATTAAGCGCATTACCCGTAGATCAAGCTAGCTTTATTGACCAATTATCCGGACATTAGTACGCGACTCTACAACTGCCATTTTCGTAATGGAATTGGAACGATTATACACACAAAGTTAGACAGATCACAATAAATGCATCAAGCTCCTCGATTCAATAAGCAAAAATAATTCCGCCTGTTTATGTTGCCTTTATTTCACGCCCTAATTTTAATCGAATTTAGGCGGAAGCATCAACGTTAAATATGTCTCACCAATCTTTATTCACCGACATAATTAAGTCTACTTACAAGAAATTAGTAGAAGGTTTGAAAAGTTTTGACATGTTTAGACGCAATTTTGACGGAAGTCAGTTACAAAGCCGTAAAAGCCACCCTAACGATCTGAGTTATTAATTAACTTCCACGGGATCACAAGACTCTGCTCACTTAAACAACCAGGAGCAAAACTTGTTTGAAAAATAAAAATTTTAAGCCAATTACTCTTGTTAGGACCTCCAGCACCAAAACTTGAATTCCAGAACCCCAACTAATACTTCGAATATATCATTTTTTTCTATTTCGCAAGGATCCACTACCGTAAATCCATTTCCTAATTGGCCTTGTGGTCTCTTCGATTGTTGCGTGAAGGCAAATCATTTAAAACAATAATTAGGACGTCTGAGGCAGAGTCGGAAAACAATATCACGCCATCAGAGACATCATCATTGATAAGCTGCGAGAACGCAAAATTTTGAATCACAATGAACATGCGTACCGAAATTGAAAGCTGCCGCCATCAGAATCAATGCCTAACATCTATTGGCTGAGGAATGTGGCCAATCAAATGAGAGCCAATGGCCATATCAACGCATCCGTTTGCCAAAAAAACAGGGCTTATTCATCCCACTTCCCAGGGCAGAAATGGTTTTTTTATCCTCTACACTTAGTGAGGAGCTAGTCCACGAAAAGGACATTTTTTTGGCAATTAAACTTTTGATCTCATGGAACATTTCAGATTTACGTCTCCTTGGAATTTGGCTCCTTCACCAAGGGCCCTGTCTCACTAACCAGACTCGATGTGATTTTGCCAGATGTCAGCTCGAATTGGAGCTCATGCTGCGGCTCTAAGATCTCGTCACCAGTCACGAAAATTTCTTCGGTGGCTGTTTTGTTCTAGCAGGCATTCTGAATGCTCTTTTGTTTTACTGGAGTCTGCCTAATAAGGCGCCTAATTTCTAAGAATATGTTGACAAAAAGCGTTGTCACAGTCACAGAAGGAGCTTCAAGCTATCCTCTACTGTCAACAAAACCTTTCTTGAAATTAGCTGAAACGAATACAACTCGCGACGTCCAAATTATGCTGGAATCTGCTGACAGCCATGATCTGCGGATATCTTAGCTCAGTGACCCCCTAATCTCCTTTAATCCTCTCTCGTGCATGATTCAGTCGTGATTCCATACCAGTTCATACGAGACACCCCCATGACCAAGTTCCCTGTGTTCCTATTGGCTTTTTTTATTTCGTGACCTTGTGTTCACCACGCCAGTGAGTGTTTGTGGCTGACAAGTAAACACGACTTGCCAATACCCAATCAAACAACTCACTCACTGCGTCTCAACTAATCTAACCAATTAGCGATCACTTTAGGCCAACACCATTGGCTAACCCCAACAAACAACCCACAAACATACGCATTTATTTGTTTGTGTTGTGCGCCAGAAGTCGGTCCTTGGCGCAACTCCTCTTTACAAATACACGTGTTTTGACACAATATCGGTTTTTAAAAGTGCTTTTAGTTGAATTGGAACTCATTACTGACAACAGCGTGCAATTTATAGACAGAAACCTCTGTTGAAATGCTCGGAATTGCGTTATTTGGCTTGGGACGAGCTGGAAGAATTCACGCAAGGAATATCCTCGCGCATCCACAATGTCGTCTGCTGTAAGATCTACCAGTTGTTGTTGTTGTTTTGTCGTTTCAATTAACACCAACACTGTTGCATGCGTAGGTACGCTATCGATCCATCGCAGCAGGCTGTGTCCACTTTCAACGAGGTGATTCCAACAGCCGCCAACAACATCCACGTCATTGTGTCGTGCGACGCGGCGGATTTGGACTGCGTCTTCAACGACACCTCAGTTGAAGCAGTCTTCGTGTGCTCCACCACTGGCAGCCACTACGAGATTGCACGACGCGCCATTCTCTGCGGTATGTCACGTGATTCGCATTTGACCTTGCCATTATCTTCTTTTTCTTTAGGAAAGGCAGTGTTTTGCGAAAAGCCAATAAGCGTTGATGTGGAAGAAACTGAAGCGCTGTATCGCATGGCTCTTGCGAAGAACATTCCCCTTCACTGCTCCTTCAACCGGCAAGTTGAATATATTCCTAGCTACTTAAAATTGGTAGTAGCAATTCATTTTCACGTTTTATTTTCTACTGCAGGCGATTTGATCCACAGGTTTGTGAGATGTACGATCACTTGCAATCCGGCAACCTGGGATCAATACATGTGGTGAAGACGTGCAGTCGCGATCACCCCTGTCCCTCCACAAAATTCCTCCGAGAATCAGGTTTTCTATCGAGTTACATTGGGAGGTGTTTGGCTCAGCTGTACTGATCGGTAACTGCTCTGATTTAGGTGGCTTCTTTCACGACTGCGCTACTCACGACCTCGACATGATTTGCTGGCTTGTGGGAGCGATGCCTCAGCGTGTCTTTGTCACAGCTACGACACAGGATGAATCGATCAGGGAGTTGAACGACGTCGACACGGCTGTTATCGTTCTCAATTTTCCTTCACGCACGCCAAGTGAACCCGGCCCTATTGCCATCGTCGATATCTCTCGTCATGGATGCTACGGGTGAGTCTACTCATTTAAAAAAACAATGCCTACTTACAAATAGTAAGTAGTGTGTCATGTCCGGCTAAGGAATTTCAGCGGGGATAGCGATGATTGTCCATTTTTAAAACAAATTAGATACGACCAACGAGTGGAGATCCTGACCGATGGTGGGATGCTTCGTTCGGAGAACCAACAAGCCTCCGGGATCGTGTTGAGCATCCCCGGTGCTACCCAATCTGCCCCAATCAAGGACTCCTTCCCTCAGCGCTACGACGAAAGCTACGTCCAATCACTCAACGTCTTTGTGAAGTGTGTCCTTGGTAAGAAACATGACACGCACACACACCCATCGGTCTCTAAACACTGCTGCTGATGTCTGTTTTTTGGCCAAATCTAGAAAAACGACCAGCCGAAATCTCTGGCCACGATGTGATCAACATCTCACGATTGGCCCACGCCTGTGACGAATCACTCAAGTCGGGCCAACCCGTGGATTTCCAATCGATTAAACTGGATTTCTGAGACAACGACGTTCACCAACACAACCGCCGTCCGATTTACAACCAGCTGTGTGTGTGTGTGTGCGGTAAAAACATCTTTTTTCTGAGGAAGCGGCTCTTCAATTTTAACCGAGATTTGATTGGCTTAGAAACGAGCCAATAGCGATGGGGGAAGTTACCGAGACGCAATTCGAGTAAAAGTCAGTCGCTTTTATTACAACACTCTCGCCAGAAAGGTGAACGAATTTTGGCAAAAAAAGGTCGCTACATAGCCATGGGTTCGGGTTCCTGAAGATCTCTGATGACGCGAGTCGAGACCACGTCGTATTCCACCTTCCTGACGTCCTTCTTGATTACCTCGGTGTAACATTTGCGTGGCAAGTAGCTAGCAGAACTACAAAAAAACAGGACATTAATACGTAGGGATACTGACAAAGAAGAGGACACACTGAAATGGCTATGGAATGGAGCAGACGAAAGTAGACTAACCGAACACCTCTCTCATTGGCTACATCGTAGTGTCGGAGGTATTCAGATCCCTTGCTCGTGATGACGCACAGATCAACCCCTGTGCCGGAGTATAAATCGTTGAAAACACCCGCAAGAATGGCCTGCTGAACTAATTCCATGGCTTCGGCTCTCTAAAACAAGACATTCAAGATGAAATAGTCAGTATTACAATACCTGGTCCAATAAGTATTTTACTAGACTTGAGGATAGTTACCAAGAATAAACAACTAACCTCTTGACGTTAGAGACTACTACGACTTATGAAAATGATAACAAAGTACACAAGATCCACGATGGACTTTAATAATCCCGACTTGATAGAACGCAAATTAAAGTGGTAGTCAGCATTTAAAAATCAAAAGAAAAAAAGATAAATACCTCCATGTTGGGTTTAAACTTCGCTTCCAGCACTGACATGGCTGCTAAGCAACCGCTTCCCATAGTGGTGTAGGGGAGTTTGTCGCTGGAACCATGAGGATGGACGCCATAAAGATGAGCTCCAAAGTTGTCCACACCACCCAGTATACAAGCGGCTCCAACATGACCCTAAGAAGGTAATAACTGTACTTTTTTGCCGTACTTGGTATTTGAACAGGTGTTGCTTCAAAAGACGAAGGGCAGCCACCACACGGGGCTTGCGGCCGGTGTTGAGTCGGTGCAACTCGATTTGTGACGACACTATACGTGTGACGTGAACTGTGTCAGCCGCCGTACCGGCACCACAACAACTACATAAAAAGTAAAACCGAAAAAAAGAAAGTACTAGATGTTGTCAGCAATGTAGTGTATCTTTTGGCAGGACTTATCGGCGACTATGGGGCCCTCGGTGGCTCTTGTATCAGCACCTAGTACAATTCCATCCTAAATGTAAATAACAGTAGGGAAAAAGCGTACTTTGAAGGTGACAGCAGCAAGGGTAGTGCCGGTCTTAATCATTTTGATCGGCAAATCTGTCAGCTTAGCTAGCCGTTCATTTCTGAAAAACGTTAACCCAATGCAATCTTAAAAAATACCTGTAACAATTGTCATACACAAATCCACCATGTGGTCTATCGGCGATCAAAGACTCCATGTTAACTTCCCAAGTCTGCGATGACTTTGCTTTGAGTGGATTGGCTACTATGGCTCACTTTGAATTTACACCACCAATATTAGATACATTAAATAATTCTTAAATTCTTTAAGTTTTGGTCAATAAAACAATCATCTCAATCAGATATGACAATTACAAAATGTACACTTTACTTTCAAATATAATAGTATTAAAAAAAGTTTTAGTAAAGGTTGTTTTACCTCGATTATTGAAAATCCGAAAAGCAATGTGCTGATGCTATGAGTCGAATAGTAACGAAAACTAGAAATATGGAATCTACATCAGATGTTGTGCACTGATTATTTAAAGTTTGGTGTTTAGAAAGAAAAATTACATTTTAAATACCGAACTTTTGTTTAGTAACTGATAGTAAAAACAGGATACGGATTCACTTTCTAACATGTTTAAAAGCAATTAAAAATGTATGTAAGGTAAAGCTTGCAAATTAAATTATCAGGAATCTTTTCGCTATTTAATCTTTTCAGATAATTTCGAATTATTCAAAATTATGCTGATCAAAATTTGCTCTGTTAAATATTTAGAACCCATTAAAATAACCAAACCCTTTAATATATTTTACGTATCTTTCGAAACTAAACAGCTCAACCACTAACTAAACTGCAGTAATTTTTTTGCAGTATAATTTCGTCATAACCTTAGTGAGATGCGTGATCGTGAATTTAGAAAATTATGAAATGATTCTCAGAATATCAACTGCTTAATGAAATGGTTAGCAAAATGCAAAAAAATTTGATTAAAATACGTTAGTAGAGAGACGCTACAATATTTCGGAATGCATTATTATTAAAAGGATCTGCATTGTTGAGCCTTGCATTGTCCTACCTACTATTGACCTAAGTCATTGACCAATTCATGAATCGCAGGGCTGGATAGACATTTTTATTAATATTTATAATCGCCACTTTAGTTCGTGATAATTCAGGCTTTTGAAGTTTTCTGGAACTTCTTAACCTAGAATAAATTACTAGTTCTAGCTAATCCAAAAGTAATTCCCTCCGTTTATCGCATTTTCAGGACGTTTTATCGAGTGCACAATAGATTAACACACTCATTAGATTAATTAAGAATGCAAACGTTGGGCGTTCCCGTTAAGGGGCAGTAATTCGAGAAATAATATGTGGTAATTTGTATCATCATCGAAGCAACATGATATAAGGAATCTGCTGTTACTAACAAACAATCAGTAGCATGTAACAAATAGAAAAGGCAGGTTGTGTTTATTTATTCCGCTGGTTCTGCAAATCTGTCACGATTCACAACTTTTCAGGTAGAACTTGGTTTACACGAATTTATTTGCTAATTACAAACTAACATAAGTAAACATTTTTAACAAACAAAGAGCAATTTCATTTATTTAAAATTCACTACATCGGTGATTTAAAAGAGAGATTTGTTTGGCTTATGCTTCTCAAACTTTCGATTCAAATTTTAAATGCCAATCATAAGGCTTAAAACGCTCAGATCAGTTGTATGCACCCAAAATGGGAGCCAATTAAAATGCTTCTTGACGATTTTTCAAAGTTTTGACAAAAAAGCAGGCGATGTGTCCTGCAGCACCATTTTCGGACACGACACGCGCCACACATTTGTCAAACCTTTTTCTCGCCTGCGACACTTGCGAGAAGAATATGAGTCATCGAAAATTCGCCACGCCAACCCCTACATTCGTCATGTTTAATTTTGATCACTAAAATGTCTTTTCTAATTGTGAAGTTGATTAACATTTGTTTAGTATTCTGCGGAAAATTTTCATTGGAAATGCGTTTGAAAAAAAAAGCATCAAAATAGTATTCCAGTGAAATTGGGAGTCATTGAGACGATAATCATCCTTGTGAATTTCAGGTAGCCCTAATCAGGCAAAGTTCAAATTTGGTAACTGGGTAACACCTAGTCACACCAGCTGTGCGTTCGCACCTTCTAATTATAGGTTTGTTTTAAACACGGTCATGTAGAATGCGGAAAGTGGAGGGAATATTACAAAACTTTGAAGATTAGGCTAATTTGGTGCACAAGCCGCGAATGAGCCAATCAAAACACTCCACCCAGAATACTCAAAATCGATTGGCTGGTCCAGCAATGGCCACGATAACTTACTGCTCGGTGCTGAAGGCTCCAAATTAAAAGTTTATTTTGTCCATATAAATGGGCCATATTTTTTTTGCTTCCTAAATCTCAGTTAGCTCTACTGACTGCCAATTAAAGAAGTACAAAAGCGCACAATTCGTGTGTTGGTTGGCGCACTTCGAAAACCCTTATTTAATTTTAAACAAAACTGCACCTAGTGTGAAAAACCAGGAATCTCAGTTAACAGTAACAAGCAGAATGAGCCAATCACGACCCATCTAAACTTATCGCGCGGTTATTAATTTCAAATAAATTAGCCGCTTTCGAATTTTCCAGAGGATAAAATTTTGATGGATTCAAGTCTACAGAATACAAAAAAATGTTGTAATCAAGAGCCTACATCTCAGGTTTTGTGTACGGACGTAATCGTGTTTCTAAATGACTTCAATGAAGTCGCTTCTCCTGTACCAATTCGCTAAGTTGATACATCCGTCAAGCAGAGAGCTACACATTGACTGTTTTGTTGTTCGCAGTTAAGGATACCTACTTAGTTCCAGTAAATTCTCATTTTCCGGCCTATAGCAATGACAGTCATGTGAAAAGGAGCGTGTTTTCGTGTCAATTTTTCAAGACACTTAAACGAACATCTCCGAAATCATAATGTACCCCGTGGTGACTTGTTCAACGATCTTTAAGATTTTCTCAATCCTTTCGACGACTGATCAACGAGGCAAGCCAAGTTCCTTTGAATTGCCAGGACCAGGTCCAACAATCTCATTGGTTGGAATGTTGCAGGCAATCTCCGGACTTTCGTTCATCTGAATGAGATGGGCTCTGGTTCGAATTTGTCTTGAAGTCGACGGCACCTTCTGTTAAACACTTTCTGTGATTGTACCACTTCCCGGGTTATAATTATCAATTCAAAACAGAAACGCATAACTAAGTACCAAAACTGGGACGGTGAAATACTAGACAGCTAAACGAATTGGTGATTTGGTGAATGATACAGACGTCTGGCTGGTCAAATCGTTAGACCGGGTGGTGGTGGTGGTGATGGATGATGGTGGGGAGTGGTGGAGGAGGTGGCAGTGGAGGCGACGGCTGTGAGATGATGGTGGAAGGTGGTGTAGGAAGCGGTGATATAAGTGGAGGTAGAGATGGAGGAGATGGTGCTGGAAGTGATAGCGGAGAGGAAGGATAAGCAAAAGGTACTGGAAGAAATTGTGAGAGTGCTAGTTGTGGAAGACGTGTTGGCTGAAGGTAGGTGACGTGCAGTTGGTAGAGGTGAAGATGGAAGAGGTGGTGGTGAGATCGCTGGTGGTGGTGGAAGCAGATGCGGTGAAGGTGGAAAGTGGCGTAAAAGGTGGTGGTGGTGGCGGCGGAACATACAGAGGGGTGGATGTGCAGGCGGCTCCAGTAACTGACGGGCACTTCGTGAAAAGGAGGACGTGTATGTTAGGATGCAGCCACCGGGTTATTGAACCTCAATCCTCACGATTCACTACACGCATAGGTCTTTGATTTTCCGCCATGTGAACACAACAGAACACCCCGGTAATGTTTGTAAAACTTGCCACATCACACCGTGCGGTTTGTAGTTTTGTGTGCAGTGGTTGTTGTGGACCCTAGCAGGCGGTCTTGAACCACGCTGGGGCCACGGAATTAACCCTGGCCCGATTACGCTTCCCTGATACCCGCGATGAAGAAAAGAACCAGAGAGGACGTGGACACAACCGTTTACTTCAGAGCTCAATCACGTTGGTGTCGTTGCGTCGTGAGTGGGGTTTGCTCGTGTGTATTTATACCTCAGATGTGTGAGTCATACACCGGCCAACATCGAGACCTAGGTGTGAGGATAATCCAAGATAAATATCCGTGTGAATGAGGGGGAAGTTGAGGATCCGCGCGGCTGATGACACTGTGAAGAAGGGGACCGGATTAAGGAGGGTGAATCATCAACACAATTATCAACAGTGTCAATCAGTTTTTCACCAAACACCAAATTTGTGACACCGCGCTTTGTACAAACCCTTCTACAACCAATAATTTGCATTCACAAAATTACTTGGCCGTTGCAATTCTGTTTTCGCTGTACATGCCTTGTCTTAACTGACCAATTGCATCACGTTAAGCCTAGCACACGAATTCAGGCAAATATATTCGAAGTTGCAAGCAGCTGTTTTCTTAAAATGACCATCTTATACCGTGGATTTCAAGAAATGCGAATTATGTTTTTGTCTACCATGGGTGTCGGATCTAGCCGTCAAAATCAGCAGAAATCTATTATTGGATATCCGACTAGCCAATAGAATCTGTCTGATGTTGCTGCAAATCAATTTGGATTTGTTAGCAGCCAATGAAATCAAGTCAGTTTATTCAGACGTGACGGGTGGATTGTACATGTGCAAAAACGTGTGAATAAGTAAAATTAATCGGAAAGGCTATTGTGCCATGAGGTCACAATTCAAAAGTACATTTAAGGTCAGCGAATAATACTCAGGAGTCCCGTGAGTGTAGTTCTGTGATTAAAATCGATCAATATTGGGTTTTCCAATAACCAATAGCATGCAGCACAAAGTGCTTTAACCTGATTGGAAAGCACCGCACAATTAAATTGTGGTTTATAAATCCGTATATCTGCCCATTCTAAATCAAGATATGGCAAACACCTGATGTAAGTAACGCAGCGAAACTTCCGATTTCTCATAGCAAAAAACTAGGCTCCACACCAACTTCCCACACGCCGATTGGTATAAACAATTGATGCTGGAATCGTCAATGCTGTTTCAGTGGATAATTTGTGGGAATCGTTAAATAATTTCTCCCAGATATTTTCCACTAACTATAGGTGGAGTCCCGGTCAATAGAAACCCATTTGTTTAAGTGAGGTGAACAGTACAGAACTTAGAACTCGCTGTCAGTGAGTTAGCGCCGTATTGGCACCAAAACCCGACCATGCGTATCAAGAGTTGTGTGCGGTGAGCACACACTAGCAAATCGACCAAATGTAACGTTGAGCCTGTCCACACACACGCACGCACACGCACAATGTGTGAGTTTTGTTCGATGTAAACTTATTTGGCAAAATGGCGTTTGGAATGTCCAAACAACCAGAACAAGTTGGCTGGACATTCCAATCGCTCTCACGTGGGCTAGTTTAGTCATAACCGCCCACACAACCGCATTCCTTTCCCCGTCACAGCATGAACCGTTAAAACTGTGCTTTGGCAAAAAAAGTAGTCGCAAGATGGTTCATGTTGTTGGTCATTAGTTCCCCAATTTTAGTTTAAATGCAATAGTTTTAGCATGCGCGCCAAGTTCACTCCCGACTTGCAAATCAAGTTCAATCACAAATAACCTCGTATTTCTCTTCCCTAATTCGGCCATCGATACAACATTTTTTTCATAAAACAAGTCAATTATTCGCTAATTTAAATCCGTTGAGTTGTGACTATCAGATCAGATATCTATGTAGAACAACAAAAAAACCGGTTTTATGTGACCAGGGGGCAAACTTTTCTTGTCTAACTAAAACGCCAATAAATGTGCGACAAATTAAAGGAATTTGTCCAGTGTAGCAAAATGTCTGATTTAAATTGCAGACAAAAAAAACCAGCAACGCGCCAGTAATTTGGCACTACTGTGACTCGCGCTCTGATTGGCTGTGTGTTTGATTGCGTGTGCATTGTGTGTGTGCACGCGTGGGCGGGTTAAATGAATGCATAAATAGTTGAACCCACTGCAAGCGTCCAATTATCTTCGTCTTCTGTTTTTGTCATGGCGAAACTGCACTTGTCGACCGTGGAGTTGAGACGTCCAGATTCGAGTCACTCGTGGGGATTTTACTACGCCGTGTTGCCTGGCGGCCCAGAAGTACTTAAAGTAGGCTGTGACGAAATTTTGTTTTAAAACTACCAAATTTGACATACTCTCTGAATTATATGATTATCGATTTATCGATCAAATAACGCTATGGGCATTTTGGATGTGAATTGCCTGACCAATCGCATATTTTGTATATTTACACAAATATAAGTCTATCTAGGTAGAATTGATGCGTCAAAACCCACGTTTTTTCCAGACAGCCATTTACATTTAAAAGAGCCCATTTCATAAATGCCAGATTAGCCCGTGAATTCGTGTGCGCACGCAAGTAACATCCCGCACGAATATGTCCAGCATATGCAGATTAGCCCGCATTTACGTGCAAACACTTCCTCGAATCTTACAATGTTTTGAGGATTTAATATTGATTTCTGATACCGATCAGTTCTATCACTTGTCAATCGAAAAAATCCCACCAATCACGACTCAAATGTGATTGGATGCGTATTTTCAATAAATTTCAAGCGACTGATTGGTTGGACGACTCTCAATCCTCAGATATCGAACTGAACGGTACTGGGGATTCTAGAAAATTTTTCAAATGACGTTTATGGAATACCACACACAATTCCTAATTCACAGCTATGATTCACTGAAAAAAGTTCTGAAGTTGTGCGAGGTTCGTAGATGTCACTTCCAACGCCGACTATACCCTTTGAATTGATTTTTTTCTGAATCCCGTGAATGCCATAGTATGCCTGAAAGTGATCTTCAGAACACAACTCACAATCTGATTGGTTAGTTTTTGTTCACACACGTATCACCCCGCAGAAGTAGTTAGTAACTTGAAAAGAAAGAAAATTAAGCCAGGAATGAAAGCACCAATCAAAACTGACTTGGGTTGTAAAATCGATATTTTAACCCCTGTGCTGTAGGTCTTAAGCGAAAGCCCAGCCTACGGGCACATTCGAAATGGACAGGTCATCAAAACGATCAATGGACAATCGATACTAGGGCTTAAACGAGAAGACATCACAGAACTCCTGAATATTGACGAGGAGGTTGTCGTGCTAGAGGTCACTGAGTAAGTCTACACACTAAATTTACCGCTTCGACATCGTCAGTTAAGTAATTGTCCTATTTATGTTTTCCAGATCGGAACCAATCGATAAGAAGTCATTGCTATTCGCTAGGGAATACGGCCGAGGCTCCGTTGAACCCCGACAATTGAGTAAGTCTACATGATAATCGATAATTCTTGGTTTTGTGTGGAATCAGTCTTCTTTTTTGTGGTCCAAAGAATGACCCACAGTTCATCGATGATATTTTATTGTTGAATGCAGCTCGTCGACGCAACAGCGAGATGCCAGCCGTGCCAGAGCGTCGTGGCAGCAATGTGTGTGTCGCCATGCCCACCAACTTGCCAAACTGTCGAGAGGAATTCGAACGCATCCACCTTCAACGCAAGCAGTCCCGAGAACTGACCTTCAACCAGCTGGAGAATCGTCGCCTTCAACGGGCCGCCTCCATAGAGCCAAATTGGGAGACCAGACCTCAGATGCCGCCGGGTCTACCCCCCAAACCCGCCAATCCCACACCGGGTTTGGACACATTGGCAGAGACGCCCAATCAGGAAGACAAGATGGCCGGTCTGAGGTACATGGGTGTGCAGATTCCATCTAGGTCCTTCAAGGCGTTGGCTTCTCTCATGGGGATGGATCCATCAGGATCTGACGTCGACAGCCAGAACATCCAGGCCACCTCTACAGGTAGGTGACCCCTATTTTAAAAGCTATTGGTTCACATCGGAAGAGTGGCTACAGTCAGTGTAGATTTGATAATGCATGTCACCAGTAACTCAACCAATACACTCGCATGCTGAGTCTTGAGTATGAAGTGGCCACTATAGAAAGATACGCGTGTATGAGAGAGATGGTAATTTGCATTTAGCGCTGGCAATGCCTGTCTCATCATGGTGTGTGCTGAATCACCAACTACCGATTGCAACTAACAGTTAATTGTTTTAGCTGATACTAGGCCGTGTTTGACCTTGGATTTGTTTTAATTCTGAATTCGCTGCATTTTGATTGGCTACAAGATTCAAATTTGTGGAAGCATTGACATTTAATCAATTTGCCCAACTGACCAACAAATATAGTTGACATTTTGCCAAAATGTCCTCGACTACTTAGAGACGCAGGCAAAAAAGGACTTGTTTATGCAAAAAAGGCGTGATTGCTGTGATTGGTCAGACACATGACTTTGTTTTGTAGAACCCTGTCGAACCGTGATTGATGTTCGCGCAGCTGCAGAAGCGATGAGAAAGGACTCGGTCAGACGCTCGTCTGTCGACAGCAACGCCTCCTCAAACTACTCTCTACCGCCTCACGCACCGCCACCACCACCACCATCCGCTACGAATCATTCAGTGTCGGCCACGTGAATACCAAGCTCAATTCTGTCCTCAGTTACCATACAGATGTTGAATTTTTCAAAAAAACCCTTGCACAAGCTAATTTGCTGGTTCTTATTAAATCTAACACAAGGCACAGCTCACCGCACACTTGCACGTGCATACTGATGCAATCAGCAGAAAAAAATCGTTAACTCAACTTGATTGGTCGAAATTGTGTGGCCTTTGCTATTCCAGTGTGGATACAGCTGCAACCACCATCAGCTCATTTTTGACCCCACGTAGGTTTAAAAAATGAAACTGTACTTTACTCGAAGGGACGCCAAACGAATAATGCCCTTTACAAGTGCTTCTTACCAAAGAATATGCTCGAAGAATAAGTACACAGTTATACCAGGATTGTGATTGGCTGAAATTTCGAATCGAACTGATTTAAACAAGCGTTAAATGTGCGAGTGAAGAATTTTAACAAAAAACCTTAAAATTTGACTTTGATTGTTAATAAGAATTTTTATCACCAAATGCTCATTTTGGGAGTGCAATCACTTCCCGCGTGAAATCGATTGGTCCAGAGATCTACCAATCCCCGGCCTAGAATTCAGGGCCCCTTGTTAGATAAAATATTCTCTCACACTTGTCATCGATTACGAAACACACTTTTTTGAGATTTGATTTGTTTTACCAATGAAAATGGCGGTCTTTCTCGTGAATGCTTAATGCCACTGAATAAAAATTTTACCACTTGAATTCACCTGGATTTCTATGGATTTGAAACAGCGCTTGGTCAGTGTGCAATATAAAATTAACGTCATGTGAATGCGCTTAACGCCGTGCAACTGGGAGCGAAAAAGACGCATTGGCCGTTTTAATTTATCACAAAATCATGGCCGGAATATTTGCTGTGTGATTAATCGTCGCTTCGAGTGTTTACACTTTGGTAGCTCGTAAATGTGGCGCTCGACCAACAAGCTGAATGCTGATTGGTGCCAAGAGGCGATGTTTCTGATTGGATTGCACTTTGCCCGGATCAAAAGTCAAATGCCGATTCAAAAATATTTTCCAATTATGTGCAAATAATTAGAACTAAATGTAGGTTATTATTTAAGGTATCAGTTAGACGGTTACGGCAACTGAAACTTTGAATAAGATGTAAAGTTATGTAATGTAATTTTGATATCGAGACAACTGTTTTAGTCAAGGGAGGAACTAATTTCGTAAGCAATTTGACCTTGTTAGAGTGAAATTAGTGCAAATTTAAAAATTTTAATGATAAAGTAGAAAATTCAGCGATTAAATAATTTATTATAGAGGATGAGTCGAACTCAACTCTTATTGGTTCGTCAGTTTACGTGGTGAAAAACGATTGGTCAGACACGTGTTCAGGCACGTTTGAATAAAAAAATCAATAACCATCCACTTACCGATTACTTCCCACCGACCGACTAACGCGATTAGAATTTTCAACCAGAACACTAAAAATGTCAAATTTAATTAACAAATTCAAAAAGAAGTTTATTTGAATTTGGCTTAAACAGCTGACGGGGTTTGTCAGAGTCTGGTGGTGATTAGCAGCGCACTTTTGGATCCAAAAGCCGACAACTTGTAAAGGTTGAAATAATTGCCAGTGACTAAGAAAAAAGAAACACACTACCTAAAATAATTGAGTAGAAATATTATTAATTTCGATTCAAGTGTGGAGCAGAATTGAGAATTGAACACGACCTGTTGAGCTTGCTAATTCTTAACATGTCTTTAGAAATCACAGCATTTTACGCGTCTTTGTAACCGAGATATCGGATATACGTGTGTGTGAATTATCATCAGCAGTAAAACAGCGAGTAGTTATTCAACTCCTCAATTATTCCCACACTTTTTATCACCCTGTGAAATATGTTATCTGGGTAAATCCACGGTCACAGTACTAACTCACTTAAATTAAATCCCGCAGTACAAATTCACATCTGCAAGTTAAGGAATTAGACTGCATTTGAAATTTGAGCAAATGTCTTCATGCGAATTTCAAATTTCCCGCGATTTTGAAAAGTTCTGTGCTTTTAAGTAACTCCGCAGTTAATGCCCTTTTGCAATAGTACAAGACAGAAATCACCACAGATTTAGCTATCAGCTGATAAAACATGTAACAAATGTTTGTTTAAGTAAACTATAGTGACCTTGAAGTGAGCCGCGTTCTTGCGTAGCAATTTGGAGCAGAATGTGACTAGCAGGAAAAATCGATTACTATGTGGGGAGAATTGCGCACTAGCAACTTGTAAAAACTACACGCGTCTGTTCCAGATTATTGCTTCTAAAGGGCTTGAAATAAGAAAATAAATCTTGGCGTGGTTTCCTGATTTGGTTGTTTATGCAAATTGCTGTTTCTATCGACTTACATACCAACGCAACCACATCCGTTGCTAACAACAAAGCGCGATACGTGGGCCTTGTAAAACGGTGATATTTTGCAAATAGAATATGCAAAATGGAATGCCGAAAATGCAGCCAGCTGATTAAACACCAATGATAATCGATAAATCGATGTCGAAGACTCTAAAATGAGCCAATTCGGAACTTTTGTTTTAATGGATCAAGTATGTTGAATGTCACGGCCGAAACGTCGCCATAGTAGCCACTGACCACGTAGGCGGCTATCACTATTGTAATAAGCCTTAACTAGAACTAAAAGTACTGGCTTAATTGGCGAAAATTAGTCTCCTATAGTAAGTGTATGATGATTCACAGCAAAAAATTGCATAAACTAACACGTGCACACACACACAATCCGCAATTAACCAATCGGCTGCGAGTAAACGGCGTTATCGAGATTGGCAAATATTGCACATAAAGTAGAGAGTCATCTAACGAGGTTGTGGCGGCTGTGGTGGTGGGCAGTATCTTCCCAGGTTACCGATAACTGCGGCAGTAAACACCACACCGACTAACTAGGCAGCAGTTGCGATGTGAAACTTCTGGCAAAACATTCTTGAGGGCTGTTTTTCTTTATCACAGAATCCAAAAATCGCAAATCATGAGGCAGAATGATCGATCTAGGCACGAAAAACAAACGCCTTATTCTTACAATCCACAACCGTGGTTCACTAGGGCAGACCATCAGCTAGTTCAAGGTCAGATTAAGCCGGCACTGAAGTGAGCTACAAATAACCCTGGAGCGTCAACACGCTACTCAAAATTTGAAACTTCCGAGAAAATGGGTTGATTTTCGCCCAAATCAAGGCCACTAGGGCACTTGTTATTGTCCTTAAAGGGGAACTACTAGAGGAGCAGGAAACTGTGCGTTTTTTTAGTGCAAATGACCTTGACGGCCTTTTTAGGTAGAAAGCTTTCTACCACTGTCTTGTCAGGGGTAGGTAAACCGTTTACTACAACAGAAACGTCGTTTCATCAAGCGCAGCAAGTTCAAAACCTCGTCTTGTAGATTACACTGCGAGAGTGATTGTGATTGGGCCGTGGTTTTCGACTTGGTGTGCACAAATGTTATGAGGAAAGCGTAGCAAATTGACTGCCGTCTCGTGTAGATCTGATATTCAACCACACAGGTCTACATCTTGCGAGGGTTTAGAACCTCAACACTCGAAGTGTAAAGAGGTTTATGTGTCCGCAGACAGCGCTCTCGTTCCCCCAGGTCAGCGCAAATTGTAACGGGTGCGATGAGTCATCGACGCCTCATCAGGAGGTAGTTGAAGCCCACCCACCAGGCTCACGCTTGACCTAAACATGTCTGGGGGCAATGTGGCCACACCAACGCATGACCCATGCCACCAACACCAGTTAAATTGACGTGGCTGGGTGTTTACGGAATGCCCAATTTCTGTAGCCTGGATTGCATGAGTCTCTCAACTCCCCAACAGTCTCCGATGGCCAAAAACACACTAATCTTGCCTTGGAAACAGCCCAATCATTGAGACCATGTCCCCAAACACATCCATGCCATTTCAGCACGTACAAGCGTGAGCGAATTGTCCCATATTTTGGCATTTTAACTAGTAATAATCACATTTGCCGTTTACTGTGAT